CACACACACACACACACACACACACACACAGCCAGAAGTAGAGGCATATAGGCTCAAGGGAGTGCTAGCTGTGAATGAAAAAGCCAAGCCCAAGCCTGAGGCCTTGAATTGAAATCCTAGTAAGGCACAGAGCAAAGAACACCAAACTAAACACTCTAGGGGACTTGGGTGCTCCCAAAAGTTTGTCCTGACCTGTGAGAGAAGAGCAAGGTGATAGCAGGATCCATTTTCCTTCAGCTCAGCTACAGTTTCTCTTTGCCATTCCTCAAAGCAGCCGAGACTCAGATGAAGGAGCACGATCTTGTTTCAAGCCAATGAAGGTGAGGCTGTTCATCTCATCCCAGCTGCCTGGCAATTAACAACGCAGCACCCTTCTTAGGCTTGCTAGGAAGTGCTGAGTTACAGCCCCAGCCACAAATAGAAAATTAAGAAAACTAATCATTCACAACTGCTCCTGTGTTTTCCATTAAAAAAAAATCAGCTAGCAACATTTCATCAGAGTGCCTTTTTATTTTCTTCTTCAGGTGCAGCCACGATGTACACAAGATATAAAATAGTAGAGAAGCAAAATCAAACCAGCTATTTCAGCACTCCTGTTTTTAACTTGGTGTCCTTAGTTCTTGGATTGGTGGGATGTATCGGAATGGGCATTGTAGCCAATTTTCAGGTATGGCCTGAGGCTTTTGGGGGGCATTTTAGGGGGGGTGATGGATAACGTGTGTGAGAAAGAGAAGTGAGAATTCAAGAAACACTGGGAAATGGTTGATAGGTTTCCAAACATTGGATTGTTTGATATTTAGAACATGAACATTTGCACATCAGTTTTGCCTGATTCTTACCTATTGCTTGGTGAAGAGAGGTCCACATTGCTCCTGGTCTATTGTGATGAAGGGTGGTGGGTCTGTGGCAGCTTTTGCCAAGTGTGCGCTTGCTCACTCTGCCACTGGTAGAAACCACTTGATGTTCAAAGAACAGCACCAGATCTACTCCTTGTGCAGGTGAGGCCGTGGACTCAGAGGTGAGAGTCATTCACTCAGTCAGCTAATTTCTTGCAGATCTGAGGATCATGGTTCAAAGCCAGCCCAGGCAAAAAACTCTGAGACTGGTATCCTCCAATGAACCACCTAAAAGTCTTTCATGGAGCTATGTGGCTCAAGTGGTAGAGTGCCAGTCTTGAGCACAGAATCTAAGGGATAGTACCCAGGCCCTGAGTTCAAGCCCTAGTGCTGGTACAAACAAACAAACAACCCAGAGTGTTAGGTAATGGAAAGTTGCAAATTTTCATGCAGTGAATAAATGTTTATGTTTATAAAAATCCAGAAATAGAAGGTTTTTAACTTCTGTGGGAGCAGAGTGTTTTCCCTGTCAATGTTCTTATAAATAATCTTCACAACGTCCTTGTTTGATATCCTGTGATTCATGTTCTGTGTGCTAGGATCAAACCTATGTGAGGCGTGTAATCCAAAGAAGAATTTCATCTAGGAGGCCAAGAAAGAGAGTGACAGGCTCCGCTTAAGGCCTAGCCAATCACACTAGGGAGATGTTCACAGATGGTGGGCGGGGTGGCAACTCCTTGGTTCGTCCATTTCCAGCCATGCTTTATTTCCCTCAAGAAGTGTCCTTGAGCCGGGCGCCAGTGGCTCACACCTGTACTTCTAGCTACCCAAGAGGCTGAGATCTGAGCATCCTGGTTGGAAGCCAGTTCGGGCAGGAAAGTCTATGAGACTTTTTTTTTTTTTTTGCCAGTCCTGGGGCTTGAACTCAGGGCCTGGCACTGTCCCTGAGCTTCTTTTGCTCAAGGCTAGGACTCTTCCACTTGAGCCACACCACCACTTCTGGCTTTTTTGAGGAATTAAATCTAGAGCTTCATGCATGCTAGGTGAGCCCCCTACCACTAAGCCACATTCCCAGCCCCTATGTGAGACTCTTATCTCCAATAACCATTCAGCATGCTACTAGTAGCATCCAGAAGAGTAGGGTAGGTGGGAGGGTCAAGAGTTTGAAGCCATCCTGGGCTATCTAGTGAGAAAATTAATAAATAAATTAGATGAAATGATAAAGAATAATCAAGTCCATTAAAAATTAATAAATTGGGCTGGGAAGGTGGCTCAGTAGTAGAGTGCTTGCCTTGTAAGCATGAGGCCCTGGTTTCAATTCCTCAGCAACACGTAAGCGGAAAAAGCCAGTAGTGGCGCTGTGGCTCAAAGAGCTGAGGGACAGCACCCAGGCCCAGAGTTCAAGCCCATGACCGACAAACAAACATGAATAAATTCAATTATCTTTTTGGAGACACACATTTCTAATGTTTAATCTTCTCAGTGTTCTGGTGTGCTCTGTGCTTTATTGTCTCTGAAATTAGAAAAGAATGCAAATAGGAAGTCAAGTTTTCATCTCATCGTGTACCCAAAATCACGCCAGCTTTTCTTTCTGTGCCTCATTTAATGTCATGACCCATGCTGTGTCTCCACTGACAGTATGACATGAAGGAAATGTCTCCTTTTTGTAAGTGTGTGCCAGTGCTGGACTTGATTGTAGCTCATGCTCTCTCCTGGCTTTTTTTACTCAAGGCTGGTACTCCACCAGTAGAACTGCAGCTCTACTTCCGGCCTTTTGCTAGTTAATTGGAGAGAAAAGTTTCTTGGATTTGTCTGCCTGAGCTGGTTTCTAGCCAAAATTCTCAGTGCCAAGTCAGACCCTAAACACGGATGAACTGGCCAAGACTAAGACAGAACATTTCCTGGTAAATCAGTAAGAGGAAACAAAGTATGCACATTCAAGAGTTTTTTTTTAAAAATTTACTTAGTATAAGAACAATAGTGTGGAAAGTCCCAGAGTTCTTAGTCTGTTCTGGAAAGTGACTCATTAGTAGTAGATGGCTTTGCTTTTTATTTCCCTTTGTATGTACACCTAACATACAAGGGGTAGCGGGAACAATTTAGGTTTGTTTTTGAAATACACATGACACAATGTATCATCTTAACCATTTTCTGAACTTTTTTTTTTTTTTTTTGGTCATGGGGCTTTAACTCAGGGCCTGGGCGCTGTGCCTAAGTTCTTTTGCTCAAGGCTAGCACTCTACCACTTAGATCCACAGCACCACTTCTGGTTTTCTAATGGTTAATTGGAGATAAGAGTCTCATGGACTTTCCTGCCCAGAACTGCTTTTCTGAAATCTTTGAAGCCCATAAGGGTGTGTGTGTGTGTGTGTGTGTGTGTGTGTGTGTGTGTGTGTGTGCGCGCGCGCACGTGTGCGCGTGTGCGCGTGTGCGTGCATGCATTTTTTCCATATAACTTCCTTGATTTTATAGGCCCATGCCAGTTAGCTTAGGTGTACAAAATCTATACTTACCAAATGGAAAATAGCATTTATTATAGAAGGTTAATGTAGTCTCTTCTACAACCCTCCTCCCCATCCCCCCTACATCTTGGGGACTGAACTAAGCTCCTTGTATTTGCCAGGCCATACCACTGAGCTGCATCTCTAGTCCTTTATAATACAACATTTTTGTTTCTTTGTTGTGTGTGTATGCTGGGTTTCAACTCAGAGCCTCTGGTCTCTTCCTGAGCTTTTGTTTGTTTGTTTGTTTAACGCTAGTGCTCTAACACTTGAGCCACACCTCCATTTTTGGCTTTTTTCTAGTTAAGTAGAGATAAGAGTGTCTCAGCTTTGTCTGCCTTGGCTGGCTTCAAATTGGGATCCTCAGATTTCAGCCTCCCCAGTAGTTAGAATTATAGGCATGAGCTACCAGCACCCAACTTTTACAATATTTTTAGATATATCATCTAATCTTTTTTTTTAGATATATCATCTAATCTTTTTTTTTCCTGCCAGTTCTGGGGCATGAACTCTGGGCCTGGGCTCTGTCCCTGAGCTTTTTTTTTTGGTCAGTCGTGGGGCTTGAACTCTGGGTCTGGGCTCTGTCCCTCAGCTCTTCAGCTCAAGATGAGCACTCTACCACTTTGAGCCACAGTGCCACTTCCAGTCTTCTGGTGGTTTATTGGAGATAAGAGTCTCATGGACTTTCCTGCCCAGGCTGGCTTTGAACCATAATCTTCAGATCTCGGCCTCCTGAGTAGCTAGGATTACAGGCGTGAGCCAGCAGCACCCAGCTCCCTGAGTTTATTTTGCTCAAGGCTAGTAGCACTCTACCACTTGAGCCACAGCCCCACATCTGGCTTTTTCTGAGTAGTTTGTTGGAGATAAGAGTTTCAAAGGACTTTATTGACCAGGCTGGCTTTGAACTGTGATCCTCAGATCTCAGCCTCTTGAGTAGCAAGGATTACAGGTATGAGCCACTGGCATCCAGGTGTAATCTAATTGAATCTAATCTTCACTGCAAACCTGCAAGACAGTGTCTAGATATGGAGCTCGAAGCTTGGCACCAAAGTCACACTGTCTGGAGGTGGAGTTTGTCAGATATTCCCAGACTCAAATCTACCTTCAAGAGAAACATCCAGATTCAGGGACAGTGCTCAGGCCCTGAGTTCAAGCCTCACAACTGCCAAAAAAAAAACAAAAAACAAAAAAAGAACACCTTTCCTTATCTCAGGTAGCCAGGTTTGCTGGGTCAGATTAGGATTTGTCATTGGGATTGGAAAGAAAAGCTTTTCTCTTGATGCTGTTCTGGCAGCAGCTGCATTTCCCAAGAGCAGGTGCACGTGGGTTCAAGCCCGTGAGGGCTTGTGGTGTGATGTCGTTCTCTGTCTGTCTGCCTGTCTGCCTGCCTGTCTGCCTGCCTGCCTGCCTGCCTGCCTGTCTGTCTGCCTGTCTGACACTCTCCTGTGGTCTTCTCCCCAGGAGCTAGCTGTGCCAGTGGTCCACGATGGGGGCGCTCTACTGGCTTTTGTGTGCGGTGTGGTGTACACCCTGCTGCAGTCCATCATCTCCTACAAAGCGTGTCCCCAGTGGAACAGCCTCCTCACGTGCCACACACGGATGGCTATCTCTGCCGTTTCCTGCGCAGCGGTCGTCCCCAGTATCCTTTCCGCAGTGTTCCTCAGAAAAGAGGATAAAGGAATCCAGCGATACGTGTTCAGGCGGGTAGCGGTGGTGAGGAAGACTTGATTCAGGACCATTGCAGTGGCTACAGAGGGACCACAGAAGGGAGATTCCAGTGGGAGAATGTGGACTGAGCTCTCAATGACGCATGGGCCAAGCGGAGGGTGGCAGTCAGTACTAAGAAGATGAGGCACTGGTGGCTCAGGCCTATCATCCTGGCTACTCAGGAGGTTGAGATCTGAGGATCATGGTTTGAAGCCAGCCTAGGCAGGAAAGTCGATGAAACTTTTATGTCTAATAAACTACCAGAAAAGCTGGAAGTGGAGCTGTGGCTCAAGTGATAGAATACCAGCCTTGAGCAAAGAGCCCAGGCCCAGAGTTCAAGTCCCAGGAGCAGGTAGGGCAAATGATGGAGAAGTCATCTGAACAAACAGTGGCAGCTTCTGCCTAAGCTGTCTGAGCCAGGGAGTTTGTATATCTAAGGGCATGGGTGAGTGTTTGGGAGAAAGTTAAGGAATTTGGCTACAATTTGGCCCAGCAAAAATACATGTCACATGGGCTGGGAAGGTGGCTCAGTGGTAGAGCGCTTGCCTTGCATGCCTGAGGCCCTGGGTTCGATTCCTCAGTACCACATAAACAAAAAGAAAAAAGCCAGAAGTGGCGGTGTAGCTCAAGTAGTAAAGTGCTAGCCTTGAGCTGAGGGACAGCACCCAGGCCCAGAGTTCAGGCCCCACGACTGGACC